AGAATTTTTGTGGCCATTTTGCATACAGGGAAATTGAGGATCAGTGATGTCCAGGGTCAAATGGCTAGTAAATGGTGTATCCCAGACTCTTGACTCAAAGTCTTTTGCTCTTTCTAGTTTATGGACATAAAGTATTATCAATAGCTGACCTCTCAGTACATTTAGGGTCTCTACAAATAATAACCACTGTTTTGTATAAAATAAGACTCTCTGCTACCAGCTGGATTGTAAGTACTTTTGTTTATAAACAGAGTTAGAAATGGGAAGGCTCTTCTCCTGCTGTCAAATGGAAGCCATTAAGACTGACATCCAAAGGACAGAATTTACATTTAAATTAGTCTGTAGCTGGAAGGAACATTATATGACAAGGGCACCACCCTCATCTTAATGGCAAAAGAAATTGATGTTTAGGGAGGGAAATGACTTGTCCAAGATCCCACACAAAGTTAATTCCATAGTGAGAATGAAAACCCATTCTACTTGGCTCAGAGTACATTTTTTCTGTTTTTTTTTTCCATATATGATGAAATGTCATCATTCACTTTAAATATCTACACTGGATTCTTCTGCTAACTCTGGGCTTGAGGAGCAGCTGTTGGGACAATGTTATGCTTATGTTATAATGAGGTCCCTTCGGTAAATAAGCCTTTTTAGACAGGATCTAAATGGATCCAAACTTCTATCACAACAGATCACAATTTAGTTAGGCCCTGATGTTTTAATAAAAGGATTTTGGATGTTAGACATAGCCAAATGACAGCTACATTGGTAGAATATGTGTGTATGCACACACATATGCATGTATACACACACATGTGTATACACAGAGATACGTGTATGCATACATTCATTGTATATATGTGTATATGCACATGTGGCTATATCTACACATGTATGCATACATATATACATACACATATCAATATATCAAAGTTGGTCATAAAACTATGGGCAAAAGACAAGCAGATTAGTGATCATTCTTCAAAGGGACAGAAATGCTAAATCTTTTAAATTTATATTCATGGAGATTAATGTTCTCAGAATTCTTAACTGCATAATAACTTTTCATTTAGTTTACTTTTTCTGTTAGGATGCAAGTGGAAGTTTATACTAGTGTAGCCATTTAAGTCCATCTCATCATGTGAGAAATGTTTCAAATGCATTTAAACATTTACTCACTGGCTTCCTTCATTTATGTTGGTCTTTAAATGTAATGAGAAGATGCATGAAGAACTCAGTGAGTGCTAAAATGATCATCTCCCTACTCCCTAGTAATTTTGTTTGTGGTTTTCCAGTGATACTTGCTATTCAGAGGTCTTGTGGATTTCCTTATTTTAATGTTTAAAATTATTATCTGCATTGGTTTCTCAAATATATCTGAAGTGGAGTCCTTCCTTCTCCTCAAAGACAAGGCTAGGTGCCTTCTCTGCATTCCCTTTCTCTCTGCCATTAAGTGTACTTGAATGTATATAAGCAAACAGTCTTGAAACTATCAGAAGATTAAGAAAAAATTAAGATAATAATCAAGCAAATGGCTTCAATTATTGACATTTATGATTAAAATCAGTCTGATAATGCCATTCTCCTTCTTACCATTCACTTTCTTTGCATTGCTAAGTTAGATGTAATTATGACAGTAGATTGTATTTTCTATAGAAAGTAACATTTTAAGTTTTCTTTCAGGATTAAAGGTCATTAGCAACTATTTTTCTTAGAAAATTTATGAAATTTTGTTTTATACCTTAATGGATTGAAGCACAAAGGCATTGCATAACCAGACCGTATTCTTACAGCTCAGTTGTGGCATAAGTAGGACCACAAATCTAGCTCTTTTAACTTCGGATTTTCTTTGGCTTTAACTTACTAAGTAATCACATTGATTCTTCATGGTATCATGGATTCAGAATTATAGGTAAAAATTATTTTCTATTTACTTTTGGGGAATTATCACTACCTTTGGAAAACCAACTCATATCCTTAGGGAAAATCTAAAAGACATGCTTTATAGTTACTTAATATCATGAAAACTTGAAATGTTTTTTGAAGAGTTTTTATTGTGATCTCTGTAAATGTCTCCAAATATATCCCCAATAAAGCTTTCTAGTTCAACATTATTTATTTGATTGTTTCTTAGTTACAAACTTATAAAACCCGTAACTGGGAAAGAATGACCAGATTTATTTTAAGGAACAGGTAACTGAATTTTGACTTGAATTTTAAATAGATATGTTTTTTTTAATGTATAGGCATATGAACAGCACCAAAGCCAGATAGCATTTATTCAGATTAATTTGTTGTCAGATATGAAGATGCTTTGTGAAACAATTCATAACAAAAACCATTGTCTCAAGGGATTTGAAATATCATTTTGACATGTAGAAAAAGCAAATGTGAGAGGGGAAAAAAGTTCCTTCCAAAATATTTAGTAGGTTTTCTTTACTGATTTTATTCTAGGTGAAAAGCAACTTTGGTAGATTTCCTCTTTTTTAAGGAAGATCTTCATAATAACTCCATCTCTCAAAAATTGCAATGAGCTACCTTGGTAGATGTTTAGATCACCATAACTGGAAGTGTTCAAGCAGAGACTATGTGGGTGACCATTTTATTGAAAACATTGTAGTTAAGATTCATGCTTCAGGTAGATTCTTGGTCTAAGTTTCTTCCCAACTCTGGAATTGTAACATTTCACCTTGTGTTTCTAAATACTCATCTATGCTCATGGTAAATGACTATAAATGCATATTAAGCGACTGCTCTTTACATTTCAAGAAGATGATATGTGCACTCCAGCATAGAGAGGAGTTAGGGCCAATTGACCTCATAGGCTCTATTAAAACTGAGAATTGCAAGTAACTCATTTCTCAGTGAATAAATAAATGTTGTACATTATAATAAGAAGATTGCTCATTATGTCTTAATTCTCATTCAAAAATGTTTAGGAAGCTCCATGTGTGCATTAAGTAGAAATGTTGATTGGAAACAGAGAAATTAAATTGTCACTGATGAAATAGTAAAAATCAATTAGGTCAAAGTTTGCTTTTAAATGTTTGAAATTGCTTTATTGCTGCATTAGTAATGAAAACCCTCAATCTTAAATCCATGCCAGTCAGCATTTATGCGATTTACTAAAACATGATTCATAATTCAAATAATTTAAAGAAAATGCTTTTCTTTACATCTTTTTTTTTTGGTCAATTAAAAACTCTCCCATACAAACATCTGCTACCACTGGAGTAACTTCTTGAAAACATTCCCCTCTCTCATTCTCACTTTGATCCTGCATTCAAATTAGTCATATACAAAATATGATATATGGAAAATTCAGCTATTTTTGACACCACACCTTTGCATCATTAAGACAATACTGACCTCTAGTGTTCTAAGAGATAGAAAAACTACCTCAGCACTTAACTTTCTCACACCAATTTCAGTCAGAAGAGATTCTTTTTCTAAAGCACCATGGGATTAATTTCATTTAAACACACACACACACACACACACACACACACAGAGAGAGAGAGAGAGAGAGAGAGAGAGAGAGAGAGAGAGAGAGAGAGAGAGAGAGAGAGAGAGAGAGAGAGGGAAAGCTTCAGCAGATGCTATCCTGTCCCTACCTATTTTCTGACCTATTTTTTTTTTTAATGCCAGGGGCATCTGGAGTCTTCCTATCAGAGAGACTGACCTCTATCAATTCCTTCTTAGCTTGCAAACTTCAACAAAATCTTTATAAGGGCTTGTGAATAAGCCTTGTGGATTTCTAATGTTCTGAACTTCTGACTAGTGACCAAAGTAATGGTGCTGTCTGGGGATATCTCAGCTATTTAAAATATGGCTAGTTCTGTTCTTTCTGGATGTGTGTCTTGTCAGGACTACATCTATAATTGGTGCCCTACTGCACCAAGGGCAGTGAGAGGAAGAAGGGGTTACTTTGGTAGTAATACCCCTCCACCCATTTCAATATGCATGATTACAAGCATGCCATTACAAGGAACCTTGGCCAAACATTGGAGAAAGGGGTGTGAAAACTTTGGAAAATACTGTAAGATCATCTTCTGAAAACTCAGAGATGGCTTAATTGTGTTCTGCTTCATCTCAGGGATTCCAGAGCATTTGAACTCCATCTTCCCCTGCCTGGCGAGGGTGCTAAGTAGTTGGTCTCCAGCTTGTGAAGGGATTGACAATTCATTCAAGTTTGACGAACTGGGTTCTTTAAAGACACAACAAGCATAGTGCTGGTGGCGGGATTTCTGGGTGTCCAACCCTCATTGTCATTACACCAAACATCAGGTCTCTGATGAAATTAGGCTTTGATTTCTAGCGTGTACATTTGCTGACTTTTCATGAATGTGTTGTCACAAATATTGGGGGGGGGTCAAATCTCTACCTCCAAAATGGGGCTAGCCATTGATTGTGCATCTCACGTACTCTGCTATGTCTCTCCTAGGAGGGATATAATCAAATCATTGTTCAAGACTGATACCATTTTAGAGACCCCAAAAGGAGTCTGCTGTAGTGGTGGTGGTGGTGGAGGTGGTGGGGTGTAATTTTTTTTTTAAAGGCATATATTGTAGTGCTCTGAGCATAGTGCAAATCTGAGCTGCATTCAGAAATCAGCCACTGTCACTGCGAGAGGTGGCTCAGAGAATCTCTCTAATGCTAGCAACCCCAAGTGTCATACAGTCTGAGCTAAGCGCTGTTCTCTGGAGAACCGGGTCAGAGGAAAGGTTCCCAGCTAGGGAAGAAACTGGGAGGATGGTCTTAGCTTCAAGATAAAAGCAAAGACCTTCAGTTTCCTTGGAACTTTGAATTTTAGGGGTTTAAAGACAAGGGACCTAGCAAAGCTGGTGAATCTAAACATAGCTAACTTTCAGAATGATTTGAGTAAGAGATCCACACCTATTGGCACCTTCTCTACTAACCGAGTAAGAGAAGCTAACTGGCCGTCCTAACGCCAGTTTCCTCCCATCTCCCAGCTCCTTTCCCCGACCCTGGCTACTTACAGTTTGTAGCTGTAGATCCTATATGCCACAAGACGGAGAATAGTAAAGTCAAAACGCTAGCCAGCGAGGGTACAGAATCCATTTCCCTCAAGCGGTCTCTCCCAATTTAATCCCGAATTTCGCAGGGACCAGTCGAGCTTCCTTTTTTCTCTCTAGCCTCTGCACAGGGTTCCCCCCACCCCCCCGACCCACCCCCCCCTCTTCCAGTCACTAGCTTGTTCACTCCATCCCGAGCCCAGTAACATAAGACCAAAATGGTCACTGGGGGTCTTGGCTCTCCTCCTCCTCCTTGCCCTCCTCCTCGGGCTACTGGGCTTCTGCTGCAACTGCTGTTCGTCCTTCTTCCTCTTCTTCCTCTTCCCCCACTCCTTAAAGGTGCAAACCCCAAATGAACTGCAGCAACAAGCGCTGCCGAGATGTACTGGCAGCGGAATCCACCTCCTTGCTAGGAGGGCTGGAATCAGCACTCGGGCGGTGTACAGCTCCTTATAGGCAAGTGGGGTGGCGCTGCACCGCCTCCTAGTCCTGGAGACCCGCCCCCAGATCGCCTATAAGAAGGTTGACTGGGCGGGTCTTTGCCCCACAAGGCAGGCCTTTCCTAATAAGCGGTAGAAGTGGAGGCAGTGGCAGCAGCGGCAGCAGCGAGAGGCAACAGCAGCGGCAGTGACTGAGACAGCGGCAGCATTCCTTGGTTCACTGGACGAGGTGGAGGCAGCCCAGATAGCAGCAGCAGCAGCGAACCACCGCCGCCGCCGTAGCAGCGGCAGAAGAGTTGCAGCCGCGCACATGAGCTACCTGGGAAGACGGGAGACGAAAGTAGAGGATATTTTAAAACAAAGCTTGGACAGTGAAGAATTTTTAAAAGGTGGAGAAGAGGAGGAGGAGGGGGATGGAGCATTTAGGAAAAACTTCTATGGAGAGCGGTTTTATTTAAGATGTTTATTGGGATGGGGGATGAAAAATTTCAATTTTGTCAATGTCATTAATTTTCCTCCTATGGGAAAAAAAAACTGATATTGGCAGGATGAAAAAAAAATACGTATTTTATCTCGTTTGATTTCTAACCTCCACCCTTTGTCTCTCACGCCTCTACTCCACCACCTCATCCCGATACTTTTTTTTCCCCCAGTGTTTTATGATCTTTCTTCCTCCACTTACGTCTCTTCTTGTTGTCCAGCATATTATTTGGAATCGGAGGTTCCTAATCCTTTTGATAAGGCTTAATGCGTTAGCAGCCTAGTTCAGAGACTACTGCCTCTAGTTGGTTCCCAGGGGTAAATCAATGTCTGTTGAAGGGAGAAGAAGAGAGGAATGATATAGTCTGGCTGGCTAGGATGTGAGGATTTTACCACGAAGGCAAAAACAGGGGGAAAATCCTTTCATTTATGTCAAGTGCTCCAAATTAGAAAGTGTGGTCCAGCCTTGGGCTTCTAGTCTATATTCGGAATATCTGAAGCTTTGTCATAATTTAACTTATTTTGATTTTAAGGGAATGTGCCAACCCCTAACAAAGTAAAGAACTTATACTTACTTTTCTATTCTGGCTTAAAGTCAGAATTAGGGGTGACTTTTTTTTTCAACCCTGTTCTCAGGAGAAAATATTCTGATGTCAATTTTTTCCTTGTGGACTCTGTAGGATGCATATGCTGGTTGTGTTTTGCAAGAATACCAGTTGTGTAGCTTACTAAAGCTATTGGTGTATTCCTCAAGTAGTATCTCCAATTGAAGAATTCATGAGACTTAACTTTGATATGTCTGTGTTTCACTCCCAAACTGACAGTGCTATAGTGAAGTACAGAAATTCATTAGTGATTCAGTTTTTGTTATGGGGGGGGAGATAAAATTGGTAGGTCCCTGTTACTTACGAATGAATGCCCATCCCTTACCAAGAAATGGGATTTTCAAAATCAAATGTACTGCTTAGGCCACTAGATTTTGTGGGAAAATATACACATTAATCCAACTGATGTTTTAAAATCAGTGTTGCAAAACCCAGACAGAAGAAATTTTAGCATGTAGAGTTAGAGGGAATTTAGAGATCATCTGGCCCAACATTTGCCTTTTGCTGCTGAGGAAATTGTTGAGAATGGAAAGCTAACTCCCAGTGCTTTCTCTTTTCTCTCTCACTGAATTCCCCAAAATAAGTTAGCTTACAATGTGACAATTGAAATAAAAATTTTAAAATTAATAATGAACACAAGCTTACTTTCCAGGCAGAATGGCTTAAAATGATACTAGTAGCACCAGTGAAGAACCCTCTGAAATGTGAAGGTGCAATCAGGGAAATATGTTTTTAGTCCCAGAATCATAGATGATCTTCAAGTAATTAGTAATATTTGGAAACCATATATAAATGTGCATGTATGAACTCACGTACAGCAAAGAAATTAAAGTTCATATTAAAGTCCTTTTACACTTACATTTTCCTTTGTCAAACATACTTATTCTCAGAGCAACATGAGACATTTGTCTAAAATTTACTAACAGACTATGAATGAAGTGGAAGGGTAAACAATTGTTCTCATAGACAATAGTATAAACAATGCCACCTTCTGGGGGCCTTTTGCCAGATAATTTTTATGAGCAGAAGAATTTAAATTACTCTTAAAACTTGTTTCACCTAAACTGATACTTACCTATTGAAGTAATTTCACAAACTCTTAACCTGGAATATTATAATGGAAACTATATAATCTCACCCTGTTTTCTGCCTCTGTTTCCATGTTCTTTTTAATTCAATGACTCAATTTTCAGCCCCAGGATAACCAGTGAATAATTCTCCTTAATCTTGGCAACATCTTTTGGAGGCAAACAGAAACAGTTATTTTCCCCATTTTACATAAAAAAAAATTACACAGATGTATGTTGTGCTTAGTCTAGACAACACACACACACACACACACACACACACACACGCGCACACACACACACACACACACACACACAAATATATCATGACTAAACCAGAAAGGTAAGTCTAAATTAAAACTCCCCTGGCTGCTGCCCTTTTCCTTCCTGTATGTTCTCTTAGGAGGCACCTTTGTTGACTCACTGTATCAACTAGGAAGATAAATGCCTCCTAAATAAGAAGCACTATGCTAGGCTTTGAGGATATAATGTTACAAATTGATTTCATACCCTCAAGAAACTTATGTTCCACTGGGAAAACATTATAGGAAAAGGGAACATTCGTGTATTATGAGATATAGGTGCCCAAAATATTTAATGTCACAAGAATTTATATGGGGCACCGACATAAAATTAACGAACTACTCTATTTTGAATACTGGCTGCCATAGCTTATTTCAAATGCAAACCTCGTGCTTTAATTTGCTTTGGTGACCAAATGATACCTTCTACTACCTTGATCCCCTAATTACACAGTTACTCAGTGAGTTAAGTAGTTAAAAGGGAGAGAGGGTGATGGCTTCGTTAGACATTCAGTGTATTATTCATTGAGATGCCTGAATCTGTGCTTTGCCCCCAATTGTTAAGAATAGTTTATTTCACAGAAGCTAACCTGGAATCTGGATTTGTCTTTAAAGGATCTGATGTCAAACTCTGGTTCTGATGTGACCTGGGGTAAATTAATTTCAACTCTTTAGGACTCAGTTTTCTCATGAATGAGAAAGGTCAAATCAGTGGTTTCAAAAACAATCTTCTAACTCCTATAATTTATGACCACAATTTCTATAACATAAATGGAATACAATCAACTAAAAGGTAATTGTTAGAAACCTACTGTGTGTGCTCAGTGTTTTGGTAGTTGCTATATGAAAAACAATTTTTGATTAGAGGCAAAAATAGCATAGGACAAGCAATTAGAGAATAACACAATAATTTAAAACTAAATGTAAAATATTGTGGTATACAAACCATCATTGATGTAGGAATTGTGTAGAGATAGATCAGTTTATACTTCAATAGTATTAAAAGGCCAAAGTCCATGTCCAACTATAATGTTAAATATTAAGATCGATGTTGTAATTCTTCAGTCATTTCCAGCTGTGTCTGACTCTTTGTGACCCCATTTTTGGGTTTTCTTGACAAAAATACTGGAGTGGTTTGCCATTTCCTTCTCCACCTCATTTTGTGGTGAGGAACTGAGGCAAACAGGGTTAAGACACTTGCCTAGGGTCACACACAGCTAGTAAGTGTCTGAGGCCAGATTTGAACTCATGAAGATAAGTTTTCATGATTCGAGACCCAGCACTCTATTCCACTGTGCCACCTGGCTGCCCTGGTAATATTAGTAATTTGTGAATTTTTATCTTTTAAGTCTATCCTCTTATATTTTTATTTCATAGGGAAATGTTTCTAAACCATTCTAAGAAACGCTGAAACACACCAAGTGTTTTTTTTAATGAATTTCATATTTTTACATTTTTGTTAATATATGTTAAGCAATAATTTTGAAGCATTTTATGACAAAGATTCTTCTTCCAAAGGTTTATTTCAACCAAAGGGCTTTGCCACCATGGGAAAAGGTGAGAATCATTGGCATAGAGAAAGACTAAACTGAAACCTAGAAACAGCTCTTGCAATAAACAAATAATTATTGACAGATCACAGAATTTGTCTGATATATGAAATTAAGTCTACCTCCCCCTGGTGGGGACAGAATGGTATTTAGCTAATTTATAGATTCCTTGATTAGTAGAAACAGAAACTTAAGTCTACGTTTGAAAATAGTCAAGCAAAATAGAATTATTCCATTTTCATGTGTTTTACACATGGATTAAAAGGGCCTTTCTACTGAATAATGTCCTCAAGATACCATTTAAGTTACCTATATCTTGAGATTGGGTGCAATAAATAAGCCTTAAGGGTAGAGATAATCACAAAAGCCTTTAATGTTATGTGAAACTGAAAAACAAACAAAAATAACTTTTGCACAACCAAAATCATTACAGCTGTCACAGAAGGAAAGTTAATCAAATGAGGAAATAAAACTTCCTATCAAATATCCCTGATAAAAAACTGATATGCAAGAGATATAGAAAATTAACAAGATATATTTGACCATCAGCAAATCCTAAATCAATTCTGAAAAAGAGAAGCTCAGTCAAGTTCTTACCCTCCCCAAATCAAAACATTCAGTGAAAGTTCTATTTCTTCTCTGTTATTTGTGAAATAAACATCTCTGAGAAAGAGAAAACTTATTTA